ATCTATCTATCTATCTATCTATCTATCTATCTATCTATCTATCTATCTTCAGTGTTTTTAAGTCTGGTCCATTTAACATATTTTTTAAAGGTACGTGTGTTTGGATTGTAAATGTGACTAGTTAATTGGGTTAGGGTAGAATACATTTGTTAAAAACTTCAAAGCAAGAATCCAATAAAATATTCAGTTTTTTAATGTAAATTTTTCTTGTTTTCTTCCATCACAGCAAAGAATCCTCACATTTCACTGTATTTTCACATGTAAAAAAAAACGGATTTCCAAATATGGAGAATTGGACATTCTAATGATCTCAGAAAGATCACGACCCTTCACTGCTTTTCTTCAGATTGAAATCAGGGATGAGTTCACATTATGGCCCCAATGATGGACGAAAGTTACATATGATGAACAACTGAAAAGAATAAGTCAATAGAATGAACTCTGTCGAGAACGGATTTATTTTCAGGAAATAAGAACTGAAAAAACTCCTGAACTCAACAGGTGCACCTCACTGAGCCTCGCTGTAGGCCTCATCCATAACTTAACCACCTTATCTATCAGTTTTGTGGAGATGGTTCCTTCCATTCCCCCTGACCGCTGACCTCAGGCCAAAACGGTCAGCGCCAGCAGCAGACTGAGGAGGCTGGCGAGCAGCGCCACCGAGGCCCTTTCTGCCCCGGACCCGGACCCGTCGGTGGGGAGGGTGGTGTCTCCCGCGGGTGGAGCTCGGCAGTGCCCGAGGTCGGCCCCCACGCAGGCGGCGTAGGCCAGGGCGTGGGCTATGAAGTGCTGCTCCTGGACGCCGCTGAACAGGTGGGCCATGGGGCCCCGGGCCAGCACGGCCACGTCCTCCCCGCTGTGCGTGGTGGACTTCAGCGGGGCGGCGGAAAACTGGACGTAGTCTTTGCCCTCTGGAAAAGTTTTACAACGGGTTTGCATTTTTAGAAGAAAATAGGGTAGGCAAGAATAAGCTTTGCTTCGGCCTATTCCTTTTTTGGTAAACTGTGGGTTTGTCTATTGTTCTTTTCTTTCTTTCTTTTGTTGTTTCTTGTGTTTAATGTGGACAATTTACCAAAATAAAGTGATTGATTGATTGATTGATTGATTGATTGATTGATTGATTGATTGATTGATTGATTGATTGATTGATTGATTGATTGATTGAAGAAACAAAGATGCAAAAATAAAACTTTACGGGATCTTTTTTTTTTCTTTCTCAAATTGATTAGGTTGTTTTTTCAATTTCTTCCTCAATTTTTTGGGTCAGTTTATTGCAAATGTTGCA